TCACCAAGGCCCCTTCCCCATTCAGCAGTGCACTAACATTTCCCCTTGTCTTCCTCTTGCTGTTGACATACTTACAGAAACCCTTCCTGTTGTCCCTGACATGCCTCGCCAAATCTAATTCCACCGGGGCTTTGGCCTTCCTTGTTTCACATCTGCATTCTCTGACAATGCGCCTGTATTCCTCCCACGTGGCCTGTTCCTTCTTCCACAAGCTGTACACTCTTTTTTTCTCGTTCACTTTGCCCAGCAGTTCCTTACTGGAATAAGGAAAATAATATTTATATACTTTTTTTTTTTGTGGTAAAGTTGTACTAATTTTAAAGAACAGTTTTAATCTGTTCTAAATTAAGTTTAAAGAAAAACTCTTTATACTATAGATAGAGCATTTGTCATGCTCTATAGTAGATACACTAATGCAAAAATATGTATTTATTATATAAGCAGGAAGATGTGGATATCAGAGTAATCACATCCATAGGCTATTTACTAATTTTGTGTCTTTGGGGTCATTTAGTGTTCTTTTCATTTGTCTCACTAGCCTATACCTGACACATTTCCTAAAACCAGAACTTTTTACCATTTGCTGTGGATATGAATACATCCACAGATATTTTAATGCTAAAGTCAATCTTGCCATCAAAGCACATTCTACATTTAAGTAGAACTTCATGAATATTTGAAAGGATCATAGGCTAATTCAGTCTGGAAGTGATTTCAGGAGGTCTCTAGTCCAACCTGCAGCTCAAGGTAGATTCATCTCTGAGGTCAGACAGGTTGCTCAGTGCTATGTCCACTTGAGTATTGAAAACMTCCAAGGACAGAGCCTGTGCAGCCTCTCTGGGGAATCTATATCTCTGTTTTACTCTTCTGATAGTGAAAAGTGTTTCTTTATATCTGTTCTGAACCACATTTTAATTGCGCAACTTCCTACTTCATACATTTTTTTTTTTGTATCAGAGTTCTAATTTCATGCCAGTGTGCACCTAAAGTCTGAAGAGGAAGATTCCAGAAATGAAAATAAAGATGCATTGAGTTCTCTGTGGTTTGGAAATCTGTTCAAGTCAAGTATTCAAGCATTATCAATAACAAGATTGCTCTATAACTTTAGTGAGACTCAGCCCTGAATGTGGATGCCAACATTTAGATGCCTAAAGGCAAGCATCTGCTTGTGAACTTGGCATCTCAACACTCAACATACTTAACAGAAATGTAATCAATACAGTCAACAGACCCAACAGAAATATACCACTCTCACAGAACTGAACACCTAGGGCTAGCCACTGTATTACTAGAAACAACCATATGGGCCAAGCAGATGTGACATATGATTGAGGTGGGACTCCTTCTGAAACCCATCAGGAAGTGAGGTGGGAGTGCTGTAGGGTTTCTAYAAGGCTACTGGACTACTAATTTGGAAGCTCTGCATATGAAAACTTAGCCTCATTGACTCCTATACATATATAGAAATGTTCCTAAAAGGTTCAAGATTTATAATACATCACCTACAGAGACTTATTTTATGCAAAACCTGAGCATGCATATCAAAATTCCCACCAACATGACACACACAATCAGATGCAATGGGATTTCAGAGGTCAATGCATGTGAAGGAGTTCATTCCTTTGTTTTCATCATAGCTCTTTCCTGTGATGCTTGGAAGAAACTTTTATTAAATCAATCAATATGCCAAACAGTTGGATTTTAACACAGGTATAAATAACCAGACACCTAGGAAGCTGGCAAGAATAGTAGAATAATCTAATCCTCAGGAATTTATTACTTCAAAATATATTTATGTATATCTGAAGAAAAGAACCTATGCAGAATCTTGCAACCACATAAACTACCAGGAACTCTTAAAAGATTTTAAAAGATTACTTTCAAGTTAAAAARTCAGAAGCACCACAATATAAAATTGTAAAATTGTAAAGCCACTGTTACCACCTTCAAGTATCACTATAAAAAGGCTCACATTAGGGTTATASAACTAGTATTTCTCATATTATATGATTATATCATTATTTAGATCATATGATCATTTAGTTATCTATCGATAAGTATCTATTTTTCAAAGGGCTTGTGTGCCCCAAACCAGCAGACTAAATAAAAACATTTCCTGGGTAAGGAAAGGCAAGATACCTGCACTTTCTTTGCATTTATGTACATGCAAAGAAAAAGCATAATCTCAGTCTACATTTCATACCTTAATCTGTTTGGGTTTCACACAAAATCTATTTATTACATGAACTACATAGCCTAATCCCTATAAAGAGAATGAGTTATTGCAACAAAACTTAGTGCCTACTGACAAAGAGTGATTTCAGAGCTGGGCATTTGCACCTAAAGCCTCACCAAGGTGGGCACCAAAGCCCTTCCCTGGAAGTCTGAGGAGGCTCGTATATGCAGTCCACACACAAGCTAAATAAACCTGTCATCCACCAACCTGGCTAGGCAGGCTGGGATTTTATCCTGGTACCATGCTGCTGTTCAGAAAGGAATGCAAGAATYAACAGTGCCAGAAATAGAGGAAAACCCAATGCCATTGTCCAGGAAGACAACWGGGAGGAAGAGGCCTTAGTTTGAACTGGGTAACCAGATCATGTATTTTGATCACCACCACTGAAGTGAAAAATGACCCTTCAGCTGCCTCTCTGGCTCCACAGCTTCTGATTTTTTAATTACAAAATAACGCATCATGCATAGTAGAAAAGTTTAGTTGTCGGGTTTTCCTTGTCTTGAGTGCTTGAATTGCAATCCACTGTCCAATATATCAGCTCTGCCTCCACCTTGCCCTCTCTCTGTGTTTTAAAAGAAACAAAAGATGAAGAAGATGAAGAGGAATGAATGAAGAGGAATGGCTTAGGTTGTAAATGTAGGAACTAGTTGTAAATGGTAAGCCCAAAATCAGCCAAACAACTATAGACAAGAAGAAACTATTTAAGCATCTCATATAGAACCTCACTTCAGCAATTCAGAATACAAAMGGATGCACTATGTATTAGGCCTGTGAAATATATCTAGATTCCTAGATCACAAAACTTATTGGAACAGGAATTCAGAAAACTATAGCTGATTTTGAAACATTACATAAGAAGTAATTCAGGCACATTTCAGATACCCAGATATGTGTGTGTGTGTGTATTCTTTTCTTTTTTTTTTTCCTTATGCAGCTTTAATTATATGAAGCCCTCAAGGGTTATAATCCTCATAAATATTTGCATAGATAAATAATTAAAACAAATAAATGTGAGTCAAGCTGTCCTTTGGGAAAGCTCAAACTCTAGAGGTGTCACAAGTGGTCTGTTTCCTCAGCAAAAGCATGACTAGACATCCATCTAGACTAGACATCCTAACAACATCCATCACTCCATTGAATGATGAATGAATTCCGTACAGGCTGTGCTGCCCTGACAAACAGCTGCATAAATTTACTTGAAACATTTAAATTCTGATCGTAATCATCATCTTTTATATATGTAAACTTTTCATTACTAATGATATTCACTACTGTGATAGAGTTGGGATGTATATTGACATATTCCAGTCAGTATTACCTTAATACTGACTCCTAAAGTTTTAGACATGTTGCCCCCGTTATTAAACTTAGAAGAGGTGTATCAGTACATGCTAAAAAAAAAAAAAAAAAAAAGCAGTGCATAAATAGAATTCAACTGTCTAATAAACACATTGGAAACAAATTTCAAGTTAAAAATAATTTTAGATTACCTTGGATACTCTGTTTGCAACCTCTCTGCCTACAGTCAGCCCCTGAACAAAGGTCCGTGCAGCAATGAAAGCTCTAGTCACTTGAACCTTCAGCTTCCTTGGGACATCTCCAAATGGTTTCAGCTGGTCTGTGTACTTGCTCACACACTCCAAGTAGTCCTCAGTGAAATGATACTGAGGGTTTATGAGCTGGAACATCCGCTCCAGTAGCCGAGCCCAGAAATCATTTAGCATTTCCTCCAAGTTCACATTGCCTCCCGTATAATATCGTTTCAGTTCTGTGAAGAGATCCTGGAACACTTCTGAGTTCTGCATGTACAGCATCCCATATGTCCGTACAAACATGTCATTTAGGGATTTTTCTGCATTCTCCAGAAGTTCTCGGAAAAATTCTGCAGACAAAATAAGCAGAGGTTAATAAAAATTATTAATTAGGTACAAAGGTCTTTTTGTAAATAACTTAGTAAAAAAATGACATAATATATTTTTGCCACTACACTTCACCAGTAAAATCCTATTATTTGACTAGAAAATAGCTTTATTTAGAGATAAAGAAAAATAGGAAATGTCCAGCATTCCCCAAGTAGGCAGAAAGATAATACCTAGAATGCTAAACATTAAAAACACATCTAAATGAACTTCACTGAGAATAGTTCCAATTCTTCACCTATTATGTGAGTATAGCAATCCCAGCCACTTGCAAAATCCTCAATAGCTTGTGTAGCACATCTTGTACTCTCAATGTGAGGCCAATAATATGATGTTTTAGCTGAAACTGCAGTGATGCTAGAATGCTGATCTTCTAACATAGAACACCACAGAAATAAGTCTGATAACTTATTTTTAAATATTCTTGATGAAAATGTGGAAGAAAGATGAATGTACATATGCAGAATTCCTTTTAGAAATATTGTTTGTCTAAGTCATACTAAGAAAATGTTAGCGTTTTCAATAATTTGATATTATACACAAGGACTGTTCCAGAATCACCCGCCAGTCCTCTCCTAGCCCGACTACTTATTCTCATTCGTTCTAGTCATTGGCATTGGTATAGTATGCTTTCTGTTTCTTCAAATGTATGTGAAACAACTGCTTCTGTGCATGCTAATTATTTCAGCTTGCACCATAAGCTATTTTTAATTTTTGGCTTATGGAGTTGATTCTGGAAACAGGCCCATGGATACCAACCACAGCAGAAATCTCTGACATCTTTCTTAGGACAACAAAAATGTGCAATGATATCTTCTATTAAAATCTTTTAATTGGCATGTGATGCTTAGGTTTTCCCTAGATATTCATTAAACATATATAGTCATTCTTTTAACATAAACTGATAAAGCAGGCAGAGCTCCTTCAGATTTTACAAGGCACCATCTTCCTATAATGTCCACTTGTCATAAAGTCCCTTATCAAATGCAGCCTCCTTATATCTCCTTTGAAAAAAGATTTTACGAGTGTTGTAGCCTGCAAATGGGACACTGCAGGCAGTAAGGCAGAGATGGCAATGCCTTTAGCGAAGACATATTTATTGCCATTAAATGAGTCATGCTGATGTAGAAATCATCATACATCCAGCTCCAAGACACCAGATTCTAAATGCATGCTCAGTGCCCAAGGACACAATTTTTATATGCCAACTGAATGGACACCCTGACTTAAAATCACAGCAACTGCTATCATGTGAATATCCTTACAACAACATGGAGCCATTACACAGCTACAGAGACTCCTGAAAATGCAAAAGCAGTGTAATGCTGAAGATAGGATGGGATTTAAGAACCCAAAGAAAAACATATTCACAAAATTTGAGGACTTGGAATTGATGACTCAAAAACAGAGTACACTAAACACTGTGTACCACGCTGCAAAGATTCAGCAGGAGCAGAGCCTTTTCTTTTTGGCAGAGATTGTGCAGAACTGCTGTCTTTGATCTCCTAGATAACTGCAAAGGGGTTATAATGACAATGCATACACACAACACTGAGAATACATTTGGTACATCAAAGTGCTTATTAAAGGGAAAATATATTCTAGTAAATATATCAATGTCTAAACTGTCATTAAAACTAKAGCTCTTCTCTTTACAGTTTGGAAAGCAAACAAACAAAAATATGCTCTTTATCAAGAAGAATAACTTGAGATTCACAACATACAGTATACTGTATATCTATTCTGTTGATTTTTTTTTAATTATCCATGCAATCCAACAAAGCAGTTTTAGAGAAAAACAAAACACAATAGTTTTTCAACCCTATTTCTAATATGGTGGGATCCTTGATATCTAAATCATCCTGATTATTATTTTATGCATTCAGCATTGCTTCTTGTAAGAAGCAATGTGCACTGGGTGTGTGGTTGAATAGATCTGGCTCTGTATTCACACAGTCTGTAAGACAAAAGCCTGTCAGACAACCTGTTTCAGGACTGAGGTCTGGCAGTCAGACCCAGTGCAATTGAATGACAGCTGTGAAAAGCAATCATAAAATGAGTGAATCCAGGCCCCTCAGTCCTCTCACATGGGCTTCTGTACATTAAGAGGTTGCTGTAGGCAAATCAAATGCCTCCCAATCTAGAGCCACACTGGAAATCCCACTATTTATCTTAAAAGATTATGCCATTGTATAAATCAGTGACATAAAGAGTTGGCTGACAGCTCCTCTAGTTTGAGATTGTTAGCATATTATTTCTTTATGTAGGGCTATTATTTTGCAATCTCATAATCAGTCTGTTGGAAATCACCCAAACTTTCTAGGCTGGAATAGTCATTTATTCTATGCTTGTATAGCATCTAGCACAATGTGCCCTGAGCGGGTTGCAATCTTTAAATATACTGCAATATAGACATTATCAGTAGCAATAAAAGCTTGAATGTCATGTTAGGCCAAATGTGACACCAGGCATATGATTAGCTGTGGGAAAATTAGCGTCTTCTGAATGGCAGTTAATTTTTAGTTTTCTCTTAGGTCTCCAGTCTTTGAAAGCTTTTGCTTAGAGTAAGTTGTTATGCCGTTAAAAAGTTAGACCTTTATCCTTCTGCATGCTTTGGTACAACAGACAGTTACTTTAAGACAGTTACTGCATCAGTAACCCTCTGCAGGATTAGGTTAATAAAGCAGCAACAACTACAAAATTGGACACCTGTTTCAATTTCAAAGAGAAAAAGGGCTCTCATGTTGCATTAATTAGTCACAAAAAAAAAAAAAAAAAAAAAAAAAAAAAAAAAAAAATCCTGTTCAGCAAAATGAATGCTGCTGTGAAAGACCACTTGCTTTTTTAGTCAGAAAAGCAACATATCTTAAGAGTCTAGTCTGTTTTGCCCTGCTCATGTACAGAGACTGTCCTGGCGTGGCTGGGCACATGTCCAGTCATATCAAGAGAAACAGTACTTCCCTCTGCAAAGGTTGAATTTTTCCATAGTCTTCGTAGTAATTTAAAGACTTTATGCCCATTGCAAAGATGATATTTCATCAACCTGCAGATGCCTTTTGAAAAATAATGTAATATTTCAGCTCTAAGTAGAAGAGTAAAGATGAGACAGACATTAATCATGTTGCTTAATGTGCTCCTGGAAGGCAYTCAAGAGCCAGGGTGGGAGTGGAGAATCTATGTAAGAGAGAACTGTGCAGTGTTTTAAAATATGTGTCTTGGGGAAAATTTTGCTGCCAAAGAAAGCTGTCTTGAGCAATGCTACTGCTGGAAATATTTTTGCCTAATTTTATACAGTATTCAGTTTTATGACAGAGTATGCCCTGCGTATGTCTTATGCTGCACACACATTTTTATATAACTTTCATTTATTAGCCAGAAGATCATCAGCAAGCCAGCTTAATTGTGTTTATGAGATTGTTCAAAAGTATAGWGTCTGAGGCATATCATGAGTTACCACACATAGAACTGAAAAGAGGAAAGGAAGATTACTATTTGAAACCAGTACATGCTCAATATAGGCTTAAATGATGAGTTTACAGTCAATGCATATCACTTCAGATAGTTTCTATTTTTTTAATATTATTTGTAAATTTAGGATGTCAGATTCATGATAGCACATCTCTATAGATGAATTTTAAATTGTTGTTAAACATTTTGTCTATCATCAGACAATATATTTACAAAGTGAAAAGATATGTTGCTTAAAGGATTTTATTGAATTGTACMTGGTTTTCTCAGATTAAAATAAGACTTTGCTAGCTCTCACACTTCCTTCTCAACTGAATAGAGTTACTTTCTCACTCTATTTTAATATAGGTAATCTAATGTGATAATTTAATTCAACCTGAGAGCTAACCTAATTCCAAAGAGACAACTAGTTGTCACCACATGTCAGTGGATCAGGACTAGGGATAAAATTACAGCATGACATGATGTAATAACTGCTTTTGACACAATGTAATAACTACTGTCTAGAGACAATTATTAGAAAAACAAATTTGTATTAGATAGGAGTGGATGTTTTATGATCTTCCCTAACCCGCTAAGTTCCCTTCATTTTTTATTATGTCTGTGATTTATGCAAAACCAACATATGAGCATAAGACAAAACACAAAGTTGAAAATAGTTGTCATCTGATTCCCTAAAATAAGCAGATATGTACAGTCTTTGTGCCAAGAAAGACTAAAAGCCAATTTCATTCATTTGCCTTATATTTGGTTCAACTTGCTTCCTCAGTAGAACCTGAGGTGGTTGTATTTTGATGCATCTAATGCCTGTGACATGCAGTCTAACTGCTACCTGAGAAAATACAGCAGCGTTACACAAAGCTCTGCAGAGCGTATGGGCAGGCATACATATGTCTGGTATATATGCAAGGTATATACCTGCTGATATATATATATATATATATATCAGCTTTTGTGTAAAACCGTGCTCAGGTTGGCATGCTTATTTCCTTTCATTGACTGCCACCACTCAAAGCATGCATGCAGTTCTCCAAGAAAGCCTAGGTTTCCTACTGGTGAGCACTAATTTTCAAACAACCATGGAGAATTTTTACTTGAAAATTATTAAATATACTTTTCTGAAATATTTACTGTTCTCTAAAATCTTAATTCATGTTACATTGCACCTTTTTATTTGTAAWAATGATGTATTCTCGACAATAAATATGTAACCTGAATTCCCAAGATCTCCTTATAGAATTAATTGGATTTGCAGTAATAGTCAAGAAAGAAAATGCTAGAAATAAAAACAAAGCAATGGGATAGCTTTTCACATAAGTTATATATACACTAATAATTATTTCTGAAGCTTCTACTTTCATTATCAAGTGGAAAATCCCTAAGTAAAGTACTCATAAAATGCAAGCAAAATGTTACATGGCATCAGAGAGCCACATTCTAGAATATTTATGAATGGACATTTAAATRCCTACAGCAGTACTACTGTCATGAATAT